CCAAGGACACCTGCGGGCTTCCTGGGCCGCGCCGGGCGGGAGCCTCAGCGCAGCGCCCCGGCGCCGGGCTCCTGCGATGTGGCGGCGCCGGGAGCCGCGCCATCTACGCGTCTGCCCATCTCCAGGCAGCCGGGAGCCGGACTGGGTTCGCGGCGGGGGGCGGGCGCGACGGCCTACGGGAGGGGGCGCCTTGGCGCCGGTGGGCTGGGGCTCGCGAGGCTCGGCGTCTCCCTCCAGCGATGGCAGCCGGCACCGAGCTCGGTGGCGCCTTTTTCTGGGAGCTCCGCCTGGCCAGGGCGCGCCTTCCGCGGGGCGTGGCGCGGAGACGACCCGGAGCGCCGAGGGCCCGGGCGGACGAGCTCAGCCTCCCTCCGCTCCGCAAAGCCCAGCCGCGGCGCGCCACCCCCTCGCCGCCCGCGCCCAGCCCAGCGCGCCGCCCCTGCGCGCCTCCTCCCGCTTTCCTTCTCGCCGGCTCCCCGCCCCCCAGCTTACAGCTCCTCCCACTGCAGCCCCGGCGACTCCCTAGCGCGCGCGACCCCTGACCCCTGACCTCGTCCGCCTCTTCTTGCTGAGCCTTTCCCTCCTGGGTCACCCAGTCGCGTTATTGCCTCTTCACTGCGGCGGACTCGAGATCGCGACCAAAGGGAGTGGGAAGGTGTCAGGAAAAGGAGGCGCCTCATTCCCGCCTCCCACACCGTGTTGGGGCCTCTTGACTACGGTATCCCTCTCATGCTCCCTGGAGGCCAGCAGTCCTGATGGGTGGCTTCTGTCACAATTACCTCAGCCCCCATGTTGGAACCGGTACCGCCCAGGGCAGAGCAGCGGCTCCTCTTCCTGGGTCTGGATGGGGGGAGCCATAGCCCCGGCGGTGTCCGTGGAGGAGTGTTACGGGTGTGGGGTACTTGCCCTCAATGGTTATTAGGTTGAAGTTCAGTTTACACTTGCCCAAGGAGACAGACACCCAGGAAGTGTCAAGCCCTATCCTCACTCCTTGCAGTTTGGCTTTCCTATGCCTCTCTCTGCTCTCTCCTCTCTGACCCTGAGCTGCTTCTTCATCCTGGTAGCTCCCACCGTGCCTGCTTCTGAGAACCTGTTTGCCAAGTGATCAAGAAGCAGTCCTGCCCAGAACGTTAGGCAGCAAGCACACTTCACTGGCCCTGTCCCAAGAGGAGTAGCCACATTCATTTGGTTTTGTTTGTGTTTAAGCTTAGAACCTTTTTTACATCTTTAATTCATTCCTTTTTCTTTTTACCCTTGCACCTCTCTCTCTCTCTCTCTCTCTCTCTCTCTCTCTCTCTCTCTCTCTCTTTTCTTTTTACAAGTCCAGGCAGGCTTGGAGTCTGGCTGATGCAAGATTTTGAGGGCAGAAATGTGAAGCAATTGACACTCCTGTCCTGGCCAGTGTGCGCTAGCACACTAGCCAGTTTCCAGGTGCAGCGGTACCTAGAAATATTGAGAAAAATGAGAGCTTGCATGTGCTCTCCAGAAAGGTTAAAAGCCCAGTGCAAATGCAAAAGATTTCCATAAACAAGTCTTGCTAGTGAGCTCAGAAAACCAAAATGAAGATGATCTATACTAATATGCAGGTACCATCCTGGGCTGTAGTCAGAAACACACACTTGATGACACTCCCTTGTTCCCACTCTCCCCATCCTTGGACCTGGTGCCTACATTTCAGATTGTAAATTACTTTGATTTTACTGCAGTGGAAAGAAATATCCTAATGTGACAGGAAGAGAAGACCCACAACTGAACCAGAGCTGGAGTGAAAGGGTGGACCACCATCGTGATAGTAAATTGACTATGAACAACCTTAAAGTCTGCTCTGGTCTGTGTCCTTGCAAGCCCCTTGGGGGTCTCTCCTCTGCTTCCTAGGCTGACTGACCTCAATCATTCTAAGAAAAGGGACAGGTTGATGGAGGTGGAATGGGTAAGAAAATCCATTACAGCCTCCCACACCTGATTCATTTGTTCATTGAATAAATGTTTATTGAACACCTACTATCTGCCAGAAGCTGTTCCAAGGACCAGATATATCCATGAAGAAATCAGGCTGTCCTCCCCAGGAAACCTCTGCCTAGTCAGTGGTGCATCTGTTCCGCAGTGCTGGTGGCTGGTGATGAGCACCTGGGGAGAGGGTGGAGGGAGAATGATGCCAGGGAAAAAGGAGGCCACAAGGAAGGTGGGGAGATGGGGATGCTGGGATGGGAACAGGGAAGCCCAGGAGAAGCTGAGGGAAACAAGCCAAGAGGTAAAGATGCTCCAGGAGGAGGCCTCTGGCCAGCCCTGGCCAGGGGAGCTGAGCCCAGGGCCATAGGCCTCTACATAAAGCCTTACTACTTCCTCAACAGCTTTATTCTAGAACCCTAAAATAACCTGTTCCCTGGACCTTTCTGAGCTTTTTTTTTTGAGAAAGTCAGGGTACTACAGTAGGCATCCTAGGGCTTGTCCCTGTCATTTCTGTGTGTGTGTGTGTGTGTGTGTGTGTGTGTGTGTGTGTGTGTGCGCGAAATGCTGTCCCCCCCAAAACACATATCCCAGGTGGGAGAGAGCCCCGTGCCTCCTTGAATGCCAGCCTACCGTGGGTGGGGGTGTGCTGCCCCCTGGTGGTACAGAACAGTCTGGGCCTGGCCCTGTTTGCAGCGCCTCATTGTGACAGCGAGTGCCAGGTTGGGGGGGGGGGTTGTGGCACTGTGGGTTGGGGAGTGCAGCTGCTGCCCTGGGCATCCTGTGAGTTCCAGGGTCCTACCCAGTGCTCCCATCCTGGTGTCTGGCTCCTTTCTCCATTGCTCCAAGAACTGGAAAACAGACTTAGGACCACAAAGGGGTTGGGGACGTGGCTTAGCGGCACAGCAGCTGCCTGGAAAGTGCGAGGAGTTGAGTTTGATTCAGAGAGAGAGAGAGAGAGAGAGAGAGAGAGAGAGAGAGAGAGAGAGAGACCCATTCCCAGAGTTTAGGACCAGGAAGATAGCTCAGCAGCACAGTGCCTGCCTGGCAAATGAGGTTATGAGTTCGATTCCTGGTTAAAAACAAACAAACAAACAAACAAACAAAACAAAACAAAAAAAACAAGACCACAAGGCACCATAGTTGGAAAATCCCAATCCCCCAGACTTCTTCCCTCCATCCTCCTCCCTTCACCTTTCTCTCCTGCGTGCTAAGGCTGATCTTGCCAGTGAGAAGCTGCGAACCTAAAATCAAAGCCGTTTTCACTTCACTTTTCTCCCTTGGTAGTTCTGTGTGGTTCCAGCCTCTTCAGGGCAGCAAGAACCAGCACTCTCTACCTTCCTTCATTAGGCCTCGCTTTTTTTTTTTTTTTTTTGCAGAGCTCCACACCAAGACATGGGCCCATGGCTGCCATTGCTGTTCATATTTCCTCCTTTGGTTGTCCCATGCTGCCAGGCCCCACAAGTGCAGGCCAAGGAGTCAGCATCCTTTCCCAGCATGCCCTTCTCCACCTAGATAACAGAATTATTCTATCAAACATCATCCCTGGGCAGGGAGGGAGAGGGAGACTTTCCTCCTCCTAGAAGGAGAAGCCTGGGAACCTGTTTGCTCATCAGCTCCTTTTATCCTCCACCTCCAGGCAGCCTCAAAAACTCCAAGACACCAAATCAAATGTGAGCACCTTCCCCAGAGAGCTATGGGAGAACCTAGCCTTAGAGGATGGCCCAGAGAGATGCAGGCCCTGCGGAGGTCAGCCAAAAGGGCTCTGGTGGGGGCTGATGGTGAGTTGGGTTGCTGTGGAAATCCCACTGAAATTGTGCTTGAAGCTCTTCAGAACCTGGAAGATAGCTTTTGCCAACCCAGGTCCTAAAGGAAAGGGACCAGAAGGGATCAGACCACAATTCAGGCCAGACCAGGACTTAGGGGCTCATAAACCATGGCTTTGAAGTCACAGGGCAAGAAGAGACCTGGGTGTCGGCTCGCAGGTGCATTCCAGGGGAAGGCTTTCAGGCCTAGGCATCACTGAACCTGGGAGATGGAGCCACTGCTGGGTTTGGGCCAAGGACAGAGAAGAATAGGCCTGCGTACGTGTGTGCGCGCACACATGTGCTCGTGCGCTCGACCATGTGTTTATGAACTCACAGGAGCAAGGCCAGCCGAGTGGACTTCCCAAAGGCCTCCTCGTTCAAGCTTGCTGGGCGAGAGACTTCTCCACCCCATCCCCCACGTTTAGCTTGGGGCCCAGCTGGCAAGATCTGTTGGCACTCAGTGTAACTCCATCTAGAAAAGCAGAGGCACAGATTCCTCTCACGCAGGCTAAATTCCAGCAGAAGTAGTCCATTCCATTGGAGAAGTGAATTAGTCCTCGGGCCCAGTCCCCTCCGGCAGTGCTCTGGGGAGGCGTCTGGACAGGCAGACCAAACTCAGGTTCCTTTGGGCGCCATGAAATCTGGGGATCCACCCTCCATTAAGTCAGTCCTGGGCAGAAGGGAGAGACCCAGAACGCAGCCAGCTCCGATCGGTGGAACTTAAGGCCAGACCCTCACAGAGTCTTTGTGTTCCACAGCTGGCACAGAGTAATCTTTTTTAAATTTTTTTATTTAGTGTGGGGTCTATAGGGTTTCACTACACAGATCAGATTTACAGTGATTCTCCTGTTTTCAGCCTCCCAAGCACTGGGATTACAGGTGCATGCCACCATGCCTAATCTCAATCACCATCTCAGCACACCCCAGGGGCGGGGCC